AGGACAAATCTGCGCCCGAGCAGGTAGTAGCGCAATGTTTCCATGGCCCATTTTACAGCGAGGCATTCTCTCTCCACCACTGCATATTTTTGTTCCCTTGGAAGGAGTTTCTGACTGAGGTATAGAATTGGGTGTTCCTCCTCCCCGACCATCTGTGATAGAACGGCCCCCAACCCTACTTCCGATGCATCCGTCTGCAGGATAAACTCCTTGGTGAAATCAGGGGCTATCAGTACGGGGTTACTGCAGAGGGCAGTCCGTAGGTCTGTGAATGCTTCCTCTGCTGCGTCAGACCATCTCACCAGATCAGGTCCACGGGCTTTCACTAGGTCTGTCGGGGGCTTGCCCTTGTGGCAAAGTGGGGGATAAAACGTCGGTAATACCCCACCACACCTAGGAACGCCCGGACTTGTTTCTTGCTCCTTGGTCGGGGCCAATTTTGGATGGCCTCTAACTTGTTCACTTGGGGTTTTACCAGACCTTTTCCCATAATGTAGCCAAGATATTTGGCCTCTGTAAACCCTACAGCGCACTTGGCAGGGTTTGCTGTAAGGCCAGCTCGCCTGAAGGTATCGAGGACTGCCTCCACCTTCTCCAGGTGGGTTTCCCAGTCTGGGGTATGAATGACCACATCGTCCAAGTAGGCAGCAGCATAACTGTTATGCGGGCGTAATAGCTTGTCCATGAGGCGCTGGAAGGTAGCTGGGGCCCCATGTAGTCCAAAAGGAAGGACAGTATATTGAAAAAGACCCTCTGGTGTAGAGAACGCAGTCTTTTCCTTTGCGTCTTCTGAAAGGGGAATCTGCCAGTACCCCTTTGTCAAGTCTAGGGTAGTCAAGTACCGGGCATTAACCAGACGGTCCACTAACTCATCTATGCGAGGTATGGGGTACGCGTCGAATTGGGATACTTCGTTTAGTCGCCGGAAGTCGTTGCAAAATCTTGTGGTGCCATCAGGTTTGGGCACCAGCACGATTGGACTGGACCACTGACTGTGGGATTCTTCGATGATCCCCAGCTCCAGCATTTTTTTTACTTCTGCTTTTATTTCCTCCCTCCTTGCCGCTGGCACCCGATAGGGCCTCATTGTTACTCTGGCCCCAGGGTTCGTGACGATGTGGTGATATGTCTCGGTTGTTCGACCCGGTTTTGTCGAGAACACATCTTGGTTCCGGAAGATCATCTCAGACACCTCATTCTTCTGGTCTGGTGTTAAATCGGGAGACACTCTCACCTGTTTGGAAGGCTTGTTTTCCTGGGTTAGGTCTTTTTGGACCGTTGTGCATGCCTCTTGTGCATGCCAGGGTTTCAGAAGGTTAACGTGATAAATCTGTTCTTGTTTTCTGCGTCCTGGCTGCCGCACCTTGTAGGTTACTTCCCCCACGGGTTCAACCACCTCATAGGGCCCCTGCCATTGGGCCAGAAGCTTGCTTTCTGCCGTGGGTACCAACACCATAACCCGATCCCCTGGTTGGAACTGTCGCACTTTTGCCTGGCGATTGTAATAGGTTCGCTGGGCTTCCTGTGCCTTCTCCAAATGTTCCCGTACAATAGGGGTAACCCGGGCTATCCGGTCTCGCATCTGCATTACATGCTCTATTATATTTCTCCCCTCATTGGGTTCCTCTTCCCAGATCTCTTTGGCGATATCTAGTATGCCACGGGGGTGATGCCCATATAGTAACTCGAAGGGGGAAAACCCATTTGAGGCCTGAGGTACCTCCCGGATAGTGAACATAAGGTAGGGTAATAGGGTGTCCCAATCCTTCCTGTCCCGACTTACCATCTTCCTTATCATAGCCTTGAGGGTTCGGTTAAACCTTTCTACCAACCCATCAGTCTGCGGATGGTAGACCGAAGTTCTCAGGGTATGTATATGGAGCAGCGTACAGAGGTCCTTCATTAGCTTCGACATAAATGGGGTTCCTTGGTCGGTTAATATCTCCTTCGGTAGCCCCATTCGGGCAAAGATCCCCACCAGCTCTTTGGCTATAGTTTTAGAGGCTGTGTTCCGCAGGGGGACGGCTTCTGGGTAGCGAGTAGCATAGTCCAAAACAACAAGTATGTATTGGTGGCCCCGAGCCGTCTTCTCCAGGGGTCCCACTAGGTCCATGGTTATTCACTCGAAGGGGACCTCTATGATGGGAAGGGGTACTAAAGGTGCCCTCAAGTGGGGACGGGGACTGTGCAGCTGACACTCCGGGCAGGAGGCACAGTACCTCCGCACTTCTTCATGTACTCCGGGCCAGAAGAACCGTTGTAGGACTCGTGCCAGGATCTTCTCTACCCCCAAATGCCCCCCAAAAAGATGACTATGAGCAAGACTTAATACAGCGTTCTGGTGTTTTTGAGGTACTAGGATCTGCTGTACCTTCTGCCCCTGTGCTGGTGCAACCTGGTATAAGAGATCCTTCTTCATTATGAAGTAGGGTCCTGGTCCCTGGGTTTTCCCTTCCACGGGGACCCCATCTATTTCAGTCACCTCCTTCCTAATGTTGTCATACCTTGGGTCTTCTGCCTGGTCCTGTCCAAAATTTCCTCTCCCGGGGCTAATCTGCCCAAGATCTAGGGGCCCAGTCTCTGTTGCCTCTACTGGTTCAGAAGCATTAGGGTGGGGGTCAGACTCAGGTGCTTCTCTCTCCTGCGTGGCCTCCTTTTCAGCTGCGCGGATCCGCCTACCTACAAGAGCGACCCTCTGGCTTTGGGTCAGTATTCGGGTTCCCAAGGCCTTAGCTGCCCTTCTTTCCCTTTTTGTCTTTTTACCCTGTCTGGGAGTGGAGAACAAATCTGGGGATATTTCAGAGAAGATTGGGGGTTGACAGTCTGCTGTGGATGCCTCACCAATTTTAGGGTCCCCATCTTTCTCCAATCCCCCTACTGGGAGTAAGTTTCCAAACCCTGGGAAGTCCCTCCCGATGAGCACTGGGTATGAGAGTTTAGGGACTACACCTGCTGCTACCTCAGTAGTGTTCCCTTGGATCTCGATTTTTACTGGGATGGTGGGGTAGTAACTAACTGTCCCATGGACACATGTTATCCCCGTACGTTTAGCCTGCAGCAGCTGACTACACTTCACGAGCTTCCCTGAGATAAGCGTGATAGCACTCCCCGAATCAACCAGTGCCGTGGTCCCTACCCCATTTAGTTTCACTGGTCTGGTATACATATGTGGGGTTAGTGAGACCCCCACAAGGTGGATTAGGGAGCATGGATCTGCCCAGTTCCCCAGGTTACACTGCATAGGCTCCTCAGCATTGGGACACTGTGCAGCTATGTGTCCCCACTCCCCGCAGGCATAACATCTGTATGGAGCCCTAGGCGTTCCCCGGTCTCTTGGTTTGGGCAGTCTAACATCACAATCCTCTTCTCCCTTAGTGCTCCGACTCTTTGTGGCCTCTGATGGGCCTTCAGCCTCTCTCTTTTTCCACCTGGGCCCTCCTGGTGGCCCAGTCACCCGAACTTTAGGGATTGATGCTGCTAGTTTAACCCGGGCTGCCTCTTCCTTAACTGGTCGGGTCAGCTCCCTCACTGTCCTTCGCCTCTCTACCAGGGCGACAACCTCGTCATAGGTGGAGGATTCGTTCTGGCTTACCCAGGCACGAAGGTCTGGTGGTAGTCTCCTCATGTATCGGAAGATGACCAGAACCGCTAGTATCTCTTCCGGACTCCCCTGTACCCCACTGGTCTGGGTCTGTCACACCTCCTTTAATTCTTTATTAAATGTGTCCCATATCAGTTGTTCCATTATCTTTCTCAGAATCAATGTGAGACTGACAGGCCTATAATTTACCCTTTTTAAATGCTGGCACAACATCAGCTTTTTTCCATGCTTCTAGAACTTCACCAGTATTTCACGGCTTATTGAAATCAACAGTAACAGTCCAACAAGATCCTCAGCCAGCTCTTTTAAAACTCTTGGATGCAAGTTATCTGCTGATTTAAAAATGTCTAACTTTAGTAACAGCTGTATCTCAGGAGGATGTTAAACCAGTGGAATGGAAAGTATGTTACCACCATATGATAGGACTACATCTCACCCCCACCCCCAAAAAAAAGAACAGAAATATTTATTGAACACTTCAGCCTTTTCTGCATTACTGATAATTCTACCATTTCCATCTAGTAATGGACCAATACCATTGTCAGGATTCTTTTTGTTCATAATATGCTTGCAAAACTCCTTATTGTCCTTAACTCTGCTGGCCATAAAGGTCTCCTTGTGTCCCTTTGTTTCCCTTATCAATTTTCTACTATTCCTAGTTTATTATTTATATCTGTCTCTAGCAACTTCCCCTTTAGTCTGGGTGGGATTGGAGCATAGAGCAGTTTTGTAGGAGTTCTGAAAGGGATGCTATTTCTGCAAGCTAGAGGGTGTCCTCTGGCCCTCTGTCCAAGAGGAGTATGTTCGTCTCAACTCACTTCTCGCCCAGTAAGGAAATAACCCACTCCTGTAACCCAGTCTCTTCTGATCATCTGGAAACCACAACACTGCTCATTGAACTGGCATAGGCCAAAGGCAAAAAAGGCTACAGACTCTAGAGAAGATCAAAGAGCGCTGAGAGTTGAAGCCTCAGTCCTAACCAGCCCATCAAATCACTCTGTACCCCAGGACTACCTGGCAAGCTTCATGTGCGTCCAGGAGGCACTTCAGTGCAAACACAAGCAGCACAGAGCTGTGAAGATGAGGCTCAGCCCTGGTTGGGACTCCCCAGAACCACTATTACTGTATATGCTTCCAGCAATGGATGATGCCAGAAAGCAACAGGAGCTCACAGAGATGCAAGGGAAATTGGGACAGACCTTTACGAGAGAAATAACACAAGGCCCTAAACATATAACCTGAGCCAGCAGACAAAAGAGCAAGGTAGAACATCACGTGAACTGTTCTATTTGCATTAGGAATAACAGGCTGGATCTGCAGTCCCCCATGTTATCCAGCCCTCGCGCCTGCAAAGTTCCCATTGACATCAGGACAAGTTTGCCCCCAGGGTGGGACTTACCTTCTCAAAATCTCGCAGGGTTTGGGTCTGCACTACAGGGCCCATCTCCAGGTCACTGAGGACATGAGTCTGCATTAGAGGGCTCTGCTCAAGGCCTGGCAGAGTCTGATCCGGCACTGGGTGATGGGCTGTCTCAAAGAGTCCCAACGTGGGTGTCTGCCTCAGGGGGTCCTCATCGGAGATGCCTAGGTTCCCGTGCTCTGGGGCATGGCAGAGAACAGCTGGAAAGGGAGCACAGAGGAAATGCAGTTCAAGTGCGTGAAGTGTCTGTTTCATATATATGCTTGGCGAGCAAAACTGGATCATACCTCCAGATAAAAACTGCATCAAGCTGGAGTTAAAGCACCTATCAGTAATTTAAGACTAAATAGTCATCATTTGAGGGTAACATTGCTTTACAGGAATGCTGAAATTTTCCCACTTAACAATCATTGGAAACTCAGGAAATTCAGAGTCAAGGTTAAATTACAAAGCGAAGCTATTATATGAAATTATGGAAATGTACCAGTAAGGCTCCCAAACAACCTTAACTCTTCCCTGGAGCAAGCCACAGCTTTTAAAGTTAGAAGGGACCATTGCGCTCATCCACTCTGACCTCCTCCATCACCCAGGCCAGAGAACCTCACCCTGGGATTCCTGTATCAGGAATGCCAGCCTCCAAACCTGCCTTGCTACGTCCTTCACACATCTAGGCTTAGAGCTGGATTTCACACCCCATCGTTCACGCCAGCAGGTATTTGCAGCATCACATTGGTACAATGTAAACTGGGTTATTTTGGGATCCAAGGACTTTTCCTGTGAGCTTGAAGTTCCTAGATTACACTCATGGCCATTTTAATTCTGTGAGGTCCGTGTACTGGTACAGTGGTCATGCCATGCCCATCTCCCAGCTACCCCGTCAGTTTTTCATAAGGGCTTTACAAAGCCAACAGTCAGTTGCTGCAAAAACACCTAAAATTTAGAGTAGCCCCTGTCCTGGCACCTCCAATCTTTGTCACACGACTAATCCCTTTATTCTCATCATGCCAAGTGCTATAATATCATGACTGAGGTCTGGGAGTACATTCCTTGTAGATACAGTATTTACCGAATATAACTGGTGCCTTAGTGAAGAAGAGGGAATTACAGCCTGCAGGACTAATCAGGAATTTAGAAAGTCCAGCTTTTTCTGCACCCAGATTTTGCAAGCTGTACAATTAAGAGTAATTTATTGTTATGCTGGAGGATGTTGGTAGCTGCCAAAAAGCAGGTCTTTATTCTATGGACAGTCACAGACCTCACTGAAGTTGATGGATATGATAGCTGTCCTCCATTCTGGATAAATGGAACAAGCATTTAAGCTTCTTTATGGAGAAAGATAGCTGAACCAATAGACACCACCATGCAAAGCACTGGCCACATGGAAGACCTGAGCAAGAACTAACTCAGGGAATATAGGAGGAGTTTCCCTGGGAACTGATGGCAAATGCCAAGGGCTGGGGCAGTGGCGGATTTAGAGTTAGTGGGGCCCTGTGCGCAGCTTCATTTTCACACACACACCCCCGAGACCCAGCCAAGAAAAAGAACATTCTCTCTTATCTTCACCCCCTTGCCCCACCCCCCGTTTTTCATTCTTTTTTTCTTCATTCTCCTCCTATATTATAAGTAATGGAAAGTAAATGAAAATAAAGTGAGGTACCTTGATTGGGGCGGGGGTTGAGGTGCAGGAGGGGGTGCAGGCTCTGGGAGGATGTTTGGGTGTGGTCTCTGGGCAGGGGTGTGGGAGAGAGTGAGGGGTGCAGGCTCTGGAAGGAAGTTTGGGTGTGGGGTGCAGGCTCCGGGCTGGGGCCGGGGGTTGGGGTGTGGGAGGTGGGCAGGGGGGCAGTGCTTACCTTGGGCAGCACAGCTCCCAAAACGACCAGTACACACACCCCTTCAGCAGCGGCTCCTAGGCAGGGGGGGCCAAGGGGTCTCCATGTGCTGCTGCCCGCAGGCACCGCCCACGCAACTCCCATTGGTCGCAGTTCTCGGCCAATGGGAACTGCGGAGTCAGCGCTTGGGGCGGGGGCAGCGCACAGAGACACCCACCCCCAACCCCCAGGGGCTGCAGGGACATGCCGACCGCTTCCGGGAGCAAAGCAGCGTGGAGGGAGGGAGGCAGAGCAGGCAGGGAGCCACCTTAGCCCTGCTGTGCTGCTGCTGGCACGTGTCTGTGCGCCCCTTGGGGGGCAGCAGGTCTCCATGCGCTGCCCAGGGGGGCAGCGCGTGGAGCCCCCCCCCACCAGGGGAACGCAGACACGTGCCAGCAGCCGACCGCTTCCGGGAGTGGCGTGAGACCACCAGCCATGGCATGCAGGCAACCTGCCTGCCTGCGCCCTGCTGCGCCACCAGCCAGGACTCGGGGGCAGGTTGTCAGATATTTGTCCTGCATTTTGGGGGCCCCCCTATCATTGAGGGCCCCGTGCCACCGCACAGTCTGTTTCATGGTAAATCCTCTCCTGAGCTAGGGCATTAATTGAATGGCAGAGGTGGGTGTGAGAAGCAGAAAGAAGCCAGAAAAGCCAGGAGAAAGTCAGAGAACCAGGGGTCGTGTGGCCCTGAAAGGAAGCCAAAAGAGCTTCTTTGGCACAAAGTGCTGGCTGGCAGCAGACTTAGTATTGTCAGCCAGTAACTCCCTGCTGTTGGTTGTTCCTACCATACATTCTTTGTAAATAAACAGGATTGCACCAAAGAAACATTTGATTTGTATCATCAATTTCTCCTCCTAAGGGAAACAACCCGACAAGACCCCATATATTGGCTAACTACTCAAGCTAAATGGGACAATATTATCTAGCCTTTGTGCTCACCCAGGAGTTGAAATGCTTTGTGATGGATGGATAAGGTTGTCTCAGAGTTCCTGGGTGGTTTCTCAGGGTATCACTGTAGGGGTCAGTTAAGGTTATTTGCTTGACCCTCTCTGGATTTCAGGGGCTTGTTTTGTTTATAACTACAGTAAAGAACAGAATTATCAGACACATAGATAAACACGATACGTTGGGGAAGAGACAGCATGGCTTTTGTAAAGGGAAATCATGCCTCACCAATCTATTAGAATTCTTTGAGATAGTCAAACAGGCACATGGACAAGGGTGATCAGGAGGATATAGTGTACTTGGACTTTCAGAAAGCCTTTGACAAGGTCCTTCACCAAAGCCTCTTAAACAAAGTAAGCAATCATGGAATAAGAGGGAAGGTCCATTCATGGATCAATAACTGGTCAAAAGATAGGAAACAAAGGGTAGAAATAAATGGAGAGAGGTAAATAGTTGGGTCCCCCAAGGATCTGTACTGAGACCAGTGCTGTTCAACATACTCATAAGTGATTTGGAAAAGGGGGTGAGCAGTGAGGTGGCAAAATTGCAGACGATACAAAATTATTCAGAATAGTTAAATTCAAACCTGACTGCAAAGAGTTATTAAGGGATCTCACAAAACTGGGTGACAAAATGGCAGATGCAATTCAATGTTGAAAAGTGCAAAGTAATGCACTTTGGAAAAAATAATCCCAATTACACATACAAAATGATGGGGTCTAAGTTAGCTGTTACCACTCAAGAAAAAGATCTTGGAGTTATTGTGAATAATTATCAGAAAACATCCAGTCAATGTGCAGCGGCAGTCAAAAAAGTGAACAGAATGTTGGAAATCATTAAGAAAGGGATAGATAATAAAACAGAAAGTTCATAATGCCAAAACTAAAATCCCTGGTACGCCCACATCTTGCATACTGCCTGCAGTTCTGGTCGCCCCATCTCAAAAAAGATATATTAGAACTGGAAAAGGTACAAAGAAGGGCAACAAATTTGATTAAATCTATGGAAAGCTTCCATCTAAGAAGAGATTAAAAAGACTGGAACTGTTCATCTTAGAAAAAAGAGATGCCTAAGGGGGAGATACGATAGAGAGCTATAAAAATCACAAATGTTATGGAGAAAATGAATAGGGAAGTGTTATTTAGCACGTCACACAACACAGGAACTAGGGGTCACCCGATGAAATTAATAGTCAGCAAATTAAAAACATACATAAGGAAGTATTTCTTCACAGAACACACAGTTAACCTGTGGAACTTGTCATGGATGCTGTGAAGGCCAAAAGTATAACTTGTTCAAAAAAGAACTGGATAAGTTCATGGAGCATGGGTGCATCAATGGCTATTAGCCAAGATGGTCAGGGACACGACCCCATGCGCTGGATGTCCCTAAACCTCTGACTGCCAGAAGCTGGGACTGGACAATGGGATGGATCACTCCATAAATTGCCCTGTTCCGTTAATTCCCTCGGAAGCATCTGGCACCGGTCATTGTCGGAAGGCAGGATACTGGGCTAGTTGGAACATTGGTCAGACCCGGTATGGCCATTCTGATGTGATTACATTACACCATTCTTTTAGGGTTTTTTATCCTGAGCTCACTGACAGGAACCCTCAGCCTTACCCAAAGCGTCAAGTGTTTTGTCTAAAGTCGTCCTTATGTCCTTGGCAGTTTGAATTGTCTGACATGTACCGGAAACAGGTCAGCTTGGGGAGCCCCTGAGCTCTGCCGTCCAATGGGACCAGCTGAGCCAGGCTGCTCTGCAAGTCACTAGTACCAGAGAGCCAGGAAGCACGGACACCAATGAAGCGTCAGGGGTTGGCATGGTGCTCAGCCAGCTTCTTATTACCCGTCCCTGCTTCCTCAGGCACCATACCTTGACTCCGGCCCCTGACCCTGCAGCATCCCTGAAGCCCACAGGCCCTGCTGCAGGCCTCAGTGGGCCAGCAGGAACCATACGCACAACACAGACAGTACCAGGGTCCCTGGCAGCTCCTGGGGACTTTCAGGAGTCCACAGGGAAGGAAATCTGGGCCTGGGCCTGGAATCAAGTTCTGGACCAGGGAGCTGGGAAGCAGGGGAAATGGTTGTGAGACTGGTCTAGAAGTGCACTTGTTCCCAAGCCAAAGAAAGAGAACATGGGCAAGAACTCTCTTATGTACCGGAGCACCTCACACTCGGATGTATTTCCCTGGGGGGCAGGGTGAAAATCCCCATTGTGCCAATGGGAACCGAGGCACAGAGACACTAAATGACTTGGCCAAGTCACTCAGGAAGTTTTTGGTGGAGCAGGGTAGATCCAGGTCTCTCAAGCCCCCTGCTAGCACCCTAAACCACTGAGCCACCCTTGCTCTCCCTTCTCATAAGAGTTATAATGGAAGATTGGTCACTATGCATGATCACGTGACAACACATTAAGAGGAAAAGAGAGGGTAATGGAAGCATGAGTAATGTGCTGGGGTCTATAAATAACTAGCTATCCCAGACCAACTGGATTGCTTTGCTGAGGGAATTACAAAGTTAGTGGATCAAGGCTACAGAGTACTCGAAAGAATAACATGAATTAGCTGCAATACATATGCTGTCAGATGGGGTTGCAGCTGGCCGAACGACCACAGAGGAAGGGTCATTATAACTGGCCATGAATTGCGCTGGAGAGAGGTGACCAGTGGGGTACACCAGAGTTTGCTGCTAGACCTCCAGTGCTGACTGGGATGGGGGACACACAGCAAGCTCCTGACATTTACAAGGATCCCAAGAGTGGGAGGAGCGAAGAACACAGATCTGAGGCACCCACACGGACAGCAGGGCCATGCCCGACCTGGGAGCAGACCAGCTCTTCAATACAGGACAGTGCTCTTTACCTGTCACGTGACTGGCTCCGGGCACCATCTCCTTCCCGTCACCATCGAAGTAATCCCTGCAGAGAAGGACACATGGGGCAATGTCAGTAGACAGCACTGCACACCAGGGCTGGGTTCCCAAGGCTTCCCTTCTTTTACTGACAGAGACCCCAATACTGACCCGTGGCACTGTCCCGTATCCACCTGCCACAGATCCAGAGAGATCCCGACAGAAAACCCCAGCATCACCATTCAGAGTGTCCCCAACACCATCCTCCCCACGTATCTCAATACGGGGAGTTCCAAGCACTCAATGCATTCCCCATCCCACAGCACTATTAGAGCAGTTCTGTGCCCACAGCTCAGTCTAGAGTTGCTCATGTCACGTTCAAATAGTCCAACTAGAAACACTCCCCCGTTATTTATTTCTGACTTTGGTTTAGTGTCTCACCGACACTGGGAGCTCTGGCTGGGTTCACTGACAACAGACTTATCAGCCACCTTCTCTAGGCCTGTCCCCATGTGGGGCCTGGGGAAGCTCCAGCATGTGGCATAAATAGGATGGCTCCCCGAGGAGAGAAGCCTGACATCTCCTACGGGTTTAGGTGCTGTGACAGAAATGGAGTGATACACAATGTTGTGGACACAGTAGGAGCTGCAATGTACAAATCTCAGAATATTTATACTTGGAGACTGGATCACCTGACCTGGGGTTCTAAGACTTTCTGCGCATCTATTGATTGAAGGAAATAAAGGCAGTGGGAAAAGCAACACAAGGGCTTTCGAGATAAGGATACATGCTAGAATTGGCCACGCTGTTTGCTTCCAAGATCCCTTTTCTTGATGTAAACCCTGTTTCGCAATGCTGGGACCTGCCAGCCCACAAGGCTACCAACAGTTTAGAAGAGCTCTGATCCCTGCAGAGAGGAGGCATTGTCAGCAGCTGTCTAGGGGTTCAAGCTGGCACAGAGGAGTACGTCTGCACAGCAGTCAGAGGGGTGACTGCAGCCTAGGCACACTTGTGCTAGCTTTGCTCTAGCTAGCATGGCTAAAAATGGCAGTGAAAACGTGGCAGCCTGGATCCCAGCGGAGGCTGCACAAGCCTCCCTGGAACTCCGGGTACATACTCACGTTGCCCCATGTGATGGTGGGCTGGACCCCCATCTTCACTGCTGCTTTTAGCCATGCTAGCTAGATTCCAGCTAGTGCGGGTGTGCCTACCTGAGCTGGAGTCACCCTGCTCCGGCTGCAGTGTGGACGTAGCCAGGCCCCATGGAATGGTGCTTTCCCAGTCCAGGAATGGCAAGCATCAGGGGGAAACACCCATTGCATTGAGTCTGCTCCATTATTTTAAGATCTGTTCTCTCTCAAATGTTTTTGTTCTAAACAAATGCTAATTAAAGGAAGCTGTTGGGTCACTAATTCTCACTGTCATGCCCTGGAGGCAGGGCCGGCACTAGGCACCAGCAAAGCAAGCAGTAGCTTGGGGCGGCAAATTTGCAGGGGCGCAAGAATCCAGCCTGGGAGCTGAAAACCAACAGGGGGCCCTGGGAGCTCTAGTTCCTTGGTTAGCTCCCTGCCTATAGAGCTGGCCCTGGAGCAGGGAAAGAACTACATTTCCCAGCATTCCCTTGGCTGCAATTAACAGGAAAGGGAGGGGGCAAGGAGTGGAACTGAAACCTCATGCTGCAGCTTCCTGTGAATGGTAGGGACAGAGCCAGCTCTAGGATTTTTGCCGCCCCCCACCCCAGCCCTGGACCCCCATGTTGCCCCAGCCCTGGACTCTCCCCCGCCCACACCCCCTGCTGCCCCAGCTCTGGCCCCCACCTGCACCCCCCTGGTGCCCCAGCCCTGGGCTCTCCCCCCACCCGCATCTCCTGCCGCCCCAGCCCTGGACTCTCCCCCGCCCACACCCCCTGCTGCCCCAGCTCTGGCCCCCACCTGCACC